TTTAAATTAAAATGTGTGGTGGTTTGAATGACAATGTCCTCCATAATCTCATATATTTGAATGTCTAGTCCCTTGATGGACTGTTTGGGAAAGGATTGGGAGGTATGGTCTTGTTGGAGGAGGTGTATCACTGGGGGAAGGGGTCTTTGAGGTTTCACTGTGGTTGAGGATATAAAACCTTCAGTACTGCTCCATGCCTCTCTGCTTCCTGTCTCTAACCCTCTGAAACTTTAAAACAACCCCAAATTAAATGCTTTCTCTTATAAGAGTTGCCTTAGTCACGGTGTCTCTTCACAGCCGTAAAACAGTGACTAAGCCACAGTGGTTTAAGTAGATTAAATTGACATCTGCTTGCTTATGGTAAAAGAGAGTACTGTTTTGTTCTATTGAGACCATGGTAGCTTTTCATCCCTCTAAATTGAACTGTCATGCTTGGTTTCATAAATGTTGCTTTTCAACTAATTGATTTATCCTCTTCCTCTTCTTCCTCTCCGACTTCCTCTTTTTCCTCTTTCCTCCCTCTTTCCCCCCTTCCCCACCTCCTTTTTTTCCAGATAGGGTGTGCAGCCCTGGCTATGTAGACTAGTCAGGCTCAAACTGGGTGATCCACTTGCCTTTGCCTCTAGGATTAAAGGCGTGCACCACTACAACCTGGCTGTTGTCATTGTTTTTTGTTTTTTAAAGATTTATTTATTTATTTATTTTGTGTATATATGAGTACACTGTCACTGTCTTCAGACACACCAGAAGACTGCATCAGATCCCATTATAGACGCTTGTGAGCCACCATATGGTTGCTGGGAATTGAACTCATGACCTTTGGAAGAGCAGTCAATGATATTAACTGCTGAGCCATCTCTCTAGCCATGTTGTCATTGGTTTTAAGACAAGGTCTTGCTGTGTATCCAGGCTAGCCTCAAATGTGGAGTGGTTCTCCTGCCTCTGCCTCCTGAGTGCTGAGATTATAAGTCCCACTATACCCAATTATATGTTTTGTTTATTTATTTTGTGTGCATATGTGTGTATGTGTATTTGCACATGCTCTCCTGCCCACGCAGTGATCCACATGTGGAGGTCTCCTTCCACTTTTTGGATCCTGTGATCAAACTCAGGTCTTCAAGATTTGGTGACAAGAACCTTTACCCACTGAGCCATGTCATGAGCTGACTGTGTGTGTGTGTGTGTGTGTGTGTGTGTTTGAGACAGTTTCATATACCTTAGGCTGTCCTCAAACTTGTTAGATGCTTGGGGATGACCTTGAACTTCTGATCCTCCTGCCTTCACCTCTTAAGTGCTGAGATTAGAAGCCTGTATTACTATATCTTTTCTTTTTCCAAGACAGGGTTTCTCTGTGTAGTCCTGGCTGTCCTGGAACTCACTCTGTAGACCAGGCTGGTCCCAAACTTACAGTATCCACTTGGCTCTGCCTTGCCAGTGCTGGGATTAAAGGTGTGCAGCTTCACGTGCTTCACCATGCCTTTTTAATGGAGTCTTGTATATTAGATGTAGGGCCTTCACACATGGCACTCTGCCAACTGAGCAGAGTGACCTTTTCACTTTAAAAAAAATTTTTTTTTAGGGCTGAAGAGATGGCTTAACGGTTAAGAGCACTGACTGCTCTTCCAGAGGTCATGAGTTCAATCCCCAGCTCATAGCCCTCTGTAATAGGATCTGATGCCCTCTTCTGGTGTGTCTGAAGACAGCTACATTGTACTCATATACATAAAATAAATAAATCTTTAGAAAAGTATTTTAGTTGTTTAAAAAAAACCCAGTTGTGTATATGGATGTTTTGCCTGCATGCTATGTCTGTGTACCACATTCGTGCAGTGCCTGTGGAGCCTGAAGAGGGCATCAGATCTCCTGGAGCTGGAGTCAGACAGTTGTGAGGCTCCACATTGGGCCAGGAATTGAACCCAGGTCCTTCCAAGAGCAGCAAGTACTCTTAACGGCCAAGCCATCTCTCCAGCTCTTTCCAACCTCTTAAAGAAGAAAAATGAAAACATAAAGCTTAGACAGATACTCTACATTGGGTTTGGGTATTTGTCACTAGAAAACTATCTTAATGGAATAATAGCTTGTAATTGCAGTCCTTGTAGTTTATAGGATTTATAAGCTGCTGTGCTTATGAATATGAGAACCACTAGATTTAATTGCTAAAAATTCAGAGAATGTGAGAAAAAATTGGCTAAGGCTAGAAATACCCAGGCTTGCTTTCTTTAGATCACTGATCAGTTAATGACAGCAGAATGCTTTGAAAGCCCAGTTCCCTGGTAACTAGTATGTAAATAACGGTTACTTTGCTGCTGTTGAAATTCTGTTAGAGGATGGCTTTCAGTAAAATCCTTATGAAGAATGTAGTAGAAAGATGAACCTGGTTAAGAGACTGTAAAAATGGAATATCCACAAGAAAGTGAAACATAGACCACAGGGTTGACATGGCTATGCTGAGTTATATTTCTTTGACTTTGGCTTTGTAGGTAATGCCATTTGCTTCTCAGACAAACTGTAAAGTTGTCTTACATTGGTGGCTAGAGTGCTTATGCTTTTCTAGAAGATTTAGTTTGGCTCCCAGTACTCATGCTGTCTAGACAGACACCTGTACTTCAGCTACAGAAGATCCAACACTCTGCTGGCCTTTGCAGGCACAACACTCACATACACAGACCTACACTGTCACACACACATACACACACACACATACATATACAATTTAAAAATAAGATCTAAAAAAAATTGCTTTTACAAGTACCATTTATGTGTATATTATATACGTCTATAGGTCCAATTTATAACTAGTATTTTTTTTCCAAAAGAGTGATACAATAACATTTTAAGACACTATAAGTCTTGCCATTTTGAGTTCTCTGATGTCAGGAAATGGTGAGTATCTTACTGTAAATTACCTGCCAGGTTTCTGAATGTATATGGTCACACTGCAGCATTACAGAGCACTCTGTATCGGTAATGTTTTCACTGAGTATGTGCCATCATTAGGGCTGTTTATCTCTGCATTTGTCCAATATTACTATATGTTATAAGCCCTGGGCCAGAGTAGAGCATCCAAAAAGCAGAGGCTTCCAAGTAAAAGCCAAAATAAAAAGTGTGATATGAAGCTGCTATAGTTTTGTAGACAGTAGTTGCAAATGCCTTTTGAAAATTGTATATAGTAAGTGGGAAAATAGCCCACACTTCATTTTTCATAAAGTTCTTTTTGTACTCAACTTTCAGACACTTGCCTATGATCAGTGATCAAGCAGGCAGTTTAGAAACCAGCATGGAAGTAATTAAACAAACAGCAGGAGTTCTTTAAACTGGTTGCAGTTTTAACATTTATAAATTCTCTTACTGGAAGCACTTATAGGAACAAGACAGAAACATGATTATGCTACTATGGTGTGTTTTTTTTTTTTTAATTCTCATCCAAATTTATATCTAAGTTCAGGCAGCAAATAACCTTTTTAGAGTTTATTTTCCTTTGCTGATAGAATTATTGCTACCTTACTATTTAGTGAGCAAGAACAAATATAACCAGTACTTTCGGGAAGTAGGATGGGGATACAGATGTATCAGAAAGCTCATTTATAGCTTTGGTCATTTGGAGCTTTTTAATTAATTAATTAATTAATTTAATAATTATTTTTATTTTAATTGTATTGTTGTTTGAAGGTGTCAGATTCCCTGGAACTAGAATTGGAGACAGTTATGAGCTGCCATGTGATTACTGGGAATTGAACTTGGGACCTCTAGAAGAGCAGCCAGCCCCCTGGACCTTTTTTAAAAATTTAATTGAAATACCTTTTTTGTTGTTGTTGTTGTTGTTGTTTTTAATGGCCTTAAACTCAGAGGTCTCCTGCCCCAGCCTTTTGATACATACTACCACACTGGGTAGGAAACACTTATTTTTGTTTTTTTAAAGATTTTTAAAATTTATTTTATGTATATGGATACACTGTAGCTATCTTCAGACATACTGGAAGAGGACATCAAATCCCATTACAGATGGTTATGAGTCACCATGTGGTTGCTTGGAATTGAACTCAGGACCTCTGGAAGAGCAGTCAGTGAGTGCTCTTAACTGCTGAGGCATCTATCTCTTCAGCCCAGGAAACACTTTTAAGAGTGTGGTAATGGTGTGGGCTTCCTCACACTTTAACCTTCAAGTTATAAAGTATATACACAAGATAAAAACTCACTGAAGGAGTCTTAAGAATTTGGAGTGAGATATGTTGTGTGAATATGTAGTAAATATGAATATCCTAATATTTGAGAGTGGGTTGTGTCATTCTTTTCATTTAATAAAAGTAGACATGTAAGTTCATATGGGGAAGCTTTTCGTTATTCAGGATCTTCCCTTAAGACTGCCTCCTTATTTCACTGAAGCAGCAGCAGTGCAGTGCCTTCGTGTCTTCTGTGACTTAGCTTAAATGCAAGGCCATGTGCACAAAGTAGTCTCAGAAGAGTATATCACCTAATGGCATTGGAGTCATTTTAGTTTTTATAGATATGCTTTATGGTGTTAGCTCAGTAACGTCTCTGTTCTATCCTAGTCCTTATCGAAAGTGTCAGTGATGGAGATAGGCAGCTGTTTTCTAACACCATCAGAATGCTCTTGCACAAACCCAAACGATAGCTAGGTCAGTTTAGACATGTTGACTTTTTTGTCTTGAATCTCAGATTTTGGTAGATATTTTCATTCTTACATTTAAACTTGGATTGTGTTTGTGAAAAAATATAGTGAGACATTAAGTGTTTTGACTAGTTAGATGAGTGTTAGGATGATTTCACTGTGCAAACATGGTTATGGAAGGGTAAGGCTGTTTACTAATAGGCAAACTGGAATATATGAAGTCTCTTAAATTTTTCTTTAGTATTTATTTACCCCATAAACAAAACTACTTTATCGTAGAAAATTATAAATAGAAGTTAACACAAAATTATGTGTGCTCCTGTCACTGGGTTGAATGAATTCTGATATTTCTATATGTTCTTTGTTCCAGAAATATGGCTATACACACCTTTCTGCAGGAGAGCTTCTTCGTGATGAAAGAAAGAATCCAGATTCACAGTATGGTGAACTTATTGAAAAGTACATTACAGAAGGAAAGATTGTACCAGTTGAGATAACCATCAGTTTATTAAAGAGGGTAAGGAGCATGAATACTAACCTGTTCAAACTACCACGGACACAAGAAACTAAATTCACCATTTTAATAATGAAAAACTAGAGCCGGGTGGTAGCTCACGCCTTTAATCCCAGCACTTGGGAGGCAGAGGCAGGCGGATTTCTGAGTTCGAGGCCAGCCTGGTCTACAGAGTGAGTTCCAGGACAGCTAGGGCTACACAGAGAAACCCTGTCTCAAAAAAACAAAACAAACAAAAACAAAAGAAAGAAAAACTAGAATATTAAATTTCTTGATTATGGAAGGTAGTGTGGTCTTTGAAAATGGCAGTGTTGGAAACTGCTTTCACTGTGAAGAAATTGACAAGCCAAGATTCTCTGCCATGGTCTAAGACCAGCTATAGCCCAGCTTAAGGTACACAAAGGTATACTTTGTTTTGCTTTTGAAACAGCCTTATGTATCCCAGACTAGCCTGGAAGTTAATTAGTCAGGGATCTTCCTGCTTCTGCCTGTTAGGATTCCAGGCACTGGACCCATCCTTCCCAGCATGCAGTGGTTCTCTGGACCCACCCTTCCCAGCATGC